TTTAGTTTTGTTATACATATTGACAATAAATTTGATCGTACAATAGTCCAAAAGGAGTTGGGTCAAATTCACCCTTTGCTGTTGTGGTCAAGTGACATCTTGTTCTGTTTGTTCAGCAGTGACGAACCAATAAAGGATATTGGTAAACAAACAACAGATGGCGTAGTACGCAATGTCCTCCCTTTGGGGATACGTACCTCTGTTACATCTAGGCAGCTGGTACTCTTTCTGACCCCTTTGGTCCTTGTTGTTCATTGAACAGACGTACTTGTACTTCAAATACTATTAGAACAATTATTTTTCCATTCAGAGCAGGAAGATCTGAAATTTGTGACAAAAAGTACTAAAATAGTTTCGTTTTCAGCTCACTAACTAGTTCTTTGAGTTTGGTACAACTGAAGAATTGAAATGTTTTTCCGAGTACTCATCCTAAATTGTGAATATCATGTAATATAGTCTGTAACTCGAGCCTTATATACTTGTTATGCGACCATAATCGGAATTCGTACAGAAATATTCCACTCTCATCAACACAGTACGATTTTTAATTTGTAAACACATATTCGATTTCCCAATATCATTTTACATACTTAAAAAAAAAAAAAAAAAAACTATGGACATCTTCCTTATTTTTAAGCTGCCATTCTGTGTTTTTACGTTCGGTAATAGATTGGATTCTGAATATATTAGAGGAATAAAATACAGAAATAATGTTCTCGGTTTTTTATTTCATTTTTTTAATGTAAATTTATACAAACGATAAATTTGTTCATGCATTAGTTAAATCATGGCAATTTTTATGCTAATATAAAAAGTAAAACCTTGTTTAGTCAGAGTCAATTGAGATAGGTATAACACGTGTGGGAGAAGTCAGTTATTCGGACAACACAGTTAGATATTTTTTTTAATTTAACATTTTAAAACAAATCAGATGATACGTGTGAAGCTTTTTTCATTAAATTGATGGGAAGACCAGTTTTGTAGGATTGAAAAACCATTTGCTTTGATTTTTATTGTAATTTATTTTCCTTTGAGGAAAATAAATTACAATATTTTGTGTAATATTGCAGATCAGGTTCATGTGGATTTTCAAAGCGCATATTTTTGTTTCAGATTACTTCCATTAAATTTTCTAAATTTAGTTTCGCCATTTATATGAACATTACTTTAAATTTGAGCCGCATTCCCATTACAGGGAAAATATTCATCATGCTTAACAATGGTAAACAAATAAACAAAGGACAATGTACGATGACAAAAATAAATTCGTTTGTCAGATCTAAAAATTTATTTTCTATTTGCTGTGTATATTTATAAATCTGATTTAAAAAACATCATGCCAAACAAATGATTCCCTAACATCAGTAAAGTTTATGAAATAAGTTAGTTTATTTTTTGATGTTGCTCTGGCAGTTAGAAACTGCTGGAAATTTTGTAATTCTGGAGACAAGTCCCTTATGAATAAGAACAATAGACATAAATGAGTGTTTATGGTCTAGTTGTCACTTACTTTTATACTAAATGATCAGTTTAATTTTCCATATGATCAGAGAATTGATGAAAGAATATTGAGAGGTGAAGAAAGAAACAGTTGATGTTTAAAGAAAGATGGTTTGCGGACAGTGATTGGCTAGGAATTCCAGACCCCTTTTTATCTGGAGATCGTTAAACATTACCTATTTAATTAGGTGCTAAAAACTCGTAAATACCTATTAGCTTTCCACTTGGATCATAGATAATCTGATCACAAAATCGAGAAAAAAGTGGCCTACAAAAATATTGAGTCATTTATCCTATATACATTTTGGGAGTGTAGGTCACGTCAAACATCTCAATATTTTTTAAGGCCCCCTTTTTTCTCGATTTTTTGCTCAAGAAAGCAAATGATATTTACGAATTTTTGCGATGAGATAATGCTATTTATGAAGTTTCAGAGAGATGTTAATAATTTGATAAAAAGGAGTCTGTACCACGAGCTTTACTAAAAAAATTTGTAATTTAATGCCAAAGTTTGAAATGAAATTTTTTATTAGAATTTTTTTCTGTTATTTCAGTTCTAAATCTTTTTCCCTTGCTACTTCTCAAGTAAATGTACAAAACTTTTATTTAAGATATCACTTGATTTCCTCAAAAAGTCGATCTAAAAATGACTTATTCTCATCTACCCATCAAACGCCATTTTTTTTTTTAAGCTTATTTATTGAAAAATATTACAATCTGTCTCAAGGACATTTATAATAGTGTTCACAGATCACATTCACACTCTATGTACAGTAAATAAAATAAATCATACAGAAAAATAATATATATACAATAAATAAGAATAAAATAACCTAAAAATAAATTAATAAAAAGAACACATATATACCTATATACAATATTTACAATCTGGCGAGAGAACTCCAAACCAGACTTGTCCCTCCAACTGTGGAGGGAAAAGCATGACTCCAGGAGATCCATGCACTTCTCTCTCAACCGCGTCACTGGGGCTAAACCCAGTGGAGATAAACGCCAAATTAGAATCAAGATAACGAAGAGAAGAATAGTTGGGGTGGTCAGTCAAAAAGGAAGGCAAAAATAAATGATAATATTTATTTTTTTACATATGCCGACGTTTCGACCTGAAGTTCAGGCCTTCATCAGGGCTAAGAAAATAACCAGATAACAAGGTATGAGAAACATAAGTAGTGATGGTAAAAAAGATAATAAAAAATAAAAAAAGAAAATAAAAAAATTAGAAAAAGAAAATAGATAAATATAAAGTAAAATGAAATTGTTAGAATAATGACTAAGAACTAAGAGATAAATAATAAAAACCATTACAAAGTGTGGAATGATGAAGTAGGCAAATCAAAAAGGGTGACAAAAGTGTTACAATGGGAATCTTAGAATAAAATGTAAAACATAAAAAAGAAATATGAAGTTATATAAGAAATGAAAATAAATAGTAAAATTAAAACATCGAGAATGGAGTAGTTAGATAGAAAATTGAGATATTGTAAAGTCTATCAAGATGTACAGACAATGTATAATATAATAGAGAGTTAAAAACAGAGAAAATGAATGAAAGGAAGGAGGAATCAAGATAAATTATAATTCTAATCTAGACCCAATCACTGTTCATTACTCATTTTTTTCGTAACTTTTTTTAAGAACTTATCAAAAGCAGAAGAATCAGCAAAAGTTAATCTTTCAACCTTAAACCTTAAAACCTTCAGTATTAGTTTTACTTTATTACAAATAAGTTATGTAATTATTTTAAAAACTTTTTTTCATAAAAAGTTTCACGGAAATTTTAAGGTTTGGAAGATATGAAGAAGCAGAGATAAAAAATATAAATATAATTCTTTTAATCCTGTATCCAATAATATACAGCCTGGAGATCATTATAATTAATCAGTATAATGTCAACAGAATGGACTAATCTATCAGAACTAATTAGGATGGAGGAGGCAGCGAGAGGCATCGATTGTGGACCCAATCTGTCGGGAGTGGTCAGCACATCTCTCGCCAGGCGGACCTCTTAATCCTCCCGGCTTTTCGATTCCCCCTTATCTTCCCCGGCCACTTCTTAACCTCTCTCCCTCTCTCTTTCCTTAAGCTCATTCTATTTCGGGTTAGATTGCTAGTACAGATATACCTAATAGTTCTCAGCTTTCATAATGCCTTCATTATTATGGTGTAGGTATGTTATATCAGTATGTATAATGGATATATTTTTAGATGCTTAGCAATAATATAAAATACCATAAGCTTTCATTCCAGTGGGTACTAGGAAATGTGGGTCAACTTAGAAATGAAAGTTCAGATCAAAGTGCTCGAGATACTACCAAATCAAATCATAAAACTGTTTATTAATATCAAATCACTTAATTTTAAAGTCCCCAAATCAGACATTTTCCGTTTATTAATTGTAAGTTAAACAGTTCTGAATGTATGAAGGAATTAATATGACAGGGAGACTCGAAGCAAAGGTAGAGAAGAGACCACTACTTAATCCATCCAAACATTTCTTTAAAACCGTCTATATTTTTGATAATAATACCGTGAATTTGTCTATATTGGAATATGTTTGGAAAGAGGTGAGGTGACAATCTAATTAGGTATGCTTGATAAAAATAAAGGAGATACCGAATTGTAGGTTATGGGATGAAGTCGAGGAACCAACACGTTTAGTGATAACCTGTAAGCATTTTAGCAACGAGAGTAGGAAATTTATGAATCTATCTAGATCGAAATCTAAATTGATCGAAGCTCTAGAAGGACACAATCAACTTAGAAAATTCATAAGAAAGACCAAATTACGGCTTTAATGCTTAAAAAACATAAATTTCTGGTAAAATAGGATTTTGTTAAAACTCTTAACGCTATAAAATTAAATAAAGCATGTCGTTATTTAAATAGTTTTCTCTCTTTAGATCTTAATCCGTACCTCTCACATATGTGACTATACCCAGCAGCACCTCTTCCTAGTCTTTGTTTACTTCCCTCATTCAAGAAAAGAAATCTCTTATCCAGTTCGTTTTCAGTTGGCTCCTGATGGGTATGTCAGCCGTGGAAATTTCGTTCATTAGTCTATTGAGTCGGTGAAGTTAAATGTAAAATCCGAAGTAAAGAGTGGGCCCGTAATAGGTTTCATAAGTCGGTATGTAAAGTTTTTTTGTTTACTTACCAGGGAGCTGCTGTTATTAATTTTAAAATATTAGTTGAAAAAATTGTAGTTCTTGTAAGTCTTGTGTATCATCTACTGTAGATTAACTAACTGTTAACTGTAGGTTAGCGGTAAGTTATATGTTAGAGACTCATGACTTTGCAGTTTGGGTTTTTTCCATTTATAACTTATTCAAATGATTTATTTATTTTTTATATTATATAGTAAAACCAATACTTCGATTTATGAAAAAATGACTGTTTTATATTTCAACGGTTGGTCATAGGGCCAAATTTATATTCAGGCTCGACTAAATAGAATATGAAATAACGCTGATTCATTTCCAGTTATGTTGAACCTTATTACCGGTTTTGGTGACTGTTTGGTAGTTGAGACTACGGTATGTAACCTCAATAACGTTCATGTTCATAATAAAGCCTCTAGTTACTCTACTGTTGTAATACGGGACCAGGAGTGAGCTAGACCAAGCGACCAACAGCAGGCATCGAGTTACCGTAATATACCAAGCTGGTGAGGAATCCTGCCGAAAGAAATGCCTTTGAGGAGAAGATTCCTTTTAGATTCGCCCCATTAGCCTAAAACACGGCCTAAGGCATGCCCCTTCACGGATCTGGGTGATTGTCCTCCGTAAACGTAGCTACGTCCTGTCGGCGACTTCGGTGGCGCAGGCTTCAGACCACTAACTATAATTCAAAACTATTTTAGAACTGAAAATATACACACAGGGGTACAGACCTCTTTTTATCAAATTATTAACATATCCCTAAAACTTCGTGAATAGCTTTATCTCATCGTAGCATAAAACGTTTTTATTTACGAAAATTCTCAAAATTCGGGCGTTTTCAATTAGCAGATCGACGAATTCCATTAAAGTAGGTACTAAAAACCCATGAGCACCAATTTGCTTTCCAATTGAATCTTAAGATGATTTGATCACAAAATCAAGAAAAAGGATTGTCTACAAACCTGACCTCCACCCTCCGTTCCCTCACGCTAATCAATGCTATTACTAGTATTCTTCTGGACAGCAATCAATACTTCTGATAGATGTTGGAGAAATTTAATTTAAAAAATTTAATAAATAAAATAAACTTAACCCCTCATGAGTTCATTCTGGTGTTACCAACTAATTTTGAGTTAGTCATAAATCCTCCTGGAAGTTATTTGATGTGATTTGTGAAGGGCCCAAATTTATTTTGTGTTTATAGTGTAGGTATTTTAAAAGATCCTCTTTAAAGATAAAAGTTATTGATACAATTTAAATTACCTTATTTTATATTTATTTCAGGGTATGAATGGGTCGGTTGGAGGAATGACAGCTTCGGTATGAATGGACGACCGTTGGAGATGGTCTTCGAATTCGACAGGCTACGAAACTTTTCCGCAATGTACTTACACACCAACAACATATACTCCCAGAAGGTGCAGGTAAGAATAAGCATTATATTTTATTCTTAGTTTAGTGTTATATGATTTATCTCTTGCTCATTTACTAATCCTTAAGGGAATGATCGGATAAATTCTTGGTCAAATTTTCTAAGCCTTGGCTAAGAAATCGCACAGGTTTATATTATTGTTTTACATGGAACCTTAAGTTTATTATACAATAAATATAAACTCCGAAAGGTTGTATGAGTGTCACCAAGAAAATGGTTATAAAACATAAAAGAGTGACCTGATGTTTTCCCCTGTCAAACCTCTGCCAACTTCTGACAGCACATCTTTATCAGATGCTTGATTCAGAAATTTCCTTTCAGTTTGGTACTGCGTTTATCATTGACATAAAAAAAAAAACTCAAACCACTTTCCAATAAAGCCGTTGGAATTACTATTATAAATTATATTTAAACTATAAATTAGATGCATGCATATTTTTATAAAAAGATATATGATATTAAGAAATAACTAGTTTAGAAATCATATTATCAGTATATCCGACAAATGTATCATTTATCACTTTATTTGTTTATTGGTGTATATTATTTATTTATTTATTTATTAATATGTACGTAAATTCTCTGAGATTTTAATTCATTGGCTATATTCAAGTACTTTTAATAAGGTACTTAGATTGTATTTACGGAGACAAAACAATTGGATCGCATAAATGGCGTTTTATTCATTAAGTCTAATTAAAAAGAAAATCAAATATCCATTTTTTATTGTGAAACTACTCTTATTTTGATTTTTCTTTTTTATAAAAATCTGTCATCCCGTGATAACTACACTGTACATTATGTATTTAATTAATTATTTAGTGAATTATTTATTTAAGAGGGCGGTCCCTCCACGCCCAGTGATATAATAAAAGGCCTCTGGCAACAGATGCAAAGAACGCATTTTAAGCTCTTACCTTAAAATGCCCTTGGGCAATAAAAGGAAATTGAAAAATTTATGTATATATAACATTTATATATATATTTTATTTGTAATCAAGAAATTCCTGGGGCTAGGAAAAAAAATTATTTATTTAAGAAGCCATGAATAGTCCGTGGTACAGACCCCTTTTTATAGAATTATTAACATCCGCCTGAAACTCGTAAATAGTAAGTCGCAAATCATTCCATCGTAGCCTACAACTATTTTATTTACGAAAACTCTTGGGATTGGGGCGTTTTCAATCTTAAAGGGAGCAAACTTTGTCCATTTAATTAGGTGCTAAAAATTTGTAAATACACGTATAATAATTTGCTTTCTACTTGGATCGTAAGATAATTTGATCTCAAAATCGAGAAAAAGGTGGTCTACAAAAATATTGGGCCAATTTTCTTATATAACCTCGTTATTTTGACATTTAGGGGATGGAGGTCACGCCAAACGGACCAATATTTTTGTTGGCTACATTTTTTTTTTCGTCTTTGTGATCATATTATCTTACTATTCAAGTAGAAATAAAATGTGTATTTATGAGTTGTTAGTACCTAATTAAATAAACAAAGTTTGTCCCACTCCAGTTTTCTTTCTTAAATAACATAGTTGTAGGTTATGATGAGATGAAACTATTTATGAATTTTCAGGCGGATGTTCATAATTTAATAAAAAGGGGTGTGTACCACGGGCTATAAATTTCTTCAATTACTGAAAACCTATAACATATCTTATGAAAGTCATAAGTGTTCTATGAAATTCCCAAAACTTCTTTTCTAATGTTTTAAATAACGAAAATAGCCTATAGAATTATAAAATAATACCTATATATATTTGTTTTACATCTTATTTAACTGTCAAATTGGTATAATTAGTTATACTCATTTAAAGTAGTACCATTTCAAATATCATGCATGATATTTTAAAACTTTCATGATCATTTTAAGAAACACTTTTAAAAATTAAAAAAAAAAATAATTATTTTGGAAAAAGAATCTATTCATCACTGTCGATATAATTTAGGAATTCCCAAGATTAATGTATAATCTAAAAAATATAAAACATGTAGCAAAGCTTGTATAAAAAACTGTTACAAAATTTTGGAATAGCTGAAATGTGTCGTTCGAGGTGAAGAACAAGAAGCAGATGAGAAGATATTGTTGTCAAAGAAACCAAAAAATACAGAAAACATTGAGACAGACCATGTTAAATAGGAATTTTATTAATTTATATTAATTGTCCATTTAACATAAATATAATTTAATTTATACACCTTTTTTTTTTTTTATTTTGAAAAGATAAAAAGTACTCCTAAGTTTGTATCGATCTCTCAAACTTTATTCATCCTTTATTTAAATAATACCTGACTGTATAAAAAGTATATTCGGTTTAATCATTCCCATCAAAAACCAGGTTACTTACCGTGGGGGCTTCTGCCGCGCATACTAATAGTGCGAAGTAATCCTTCCCCCCTTTTCTTAGGAGTAATTTCTCGATTTAATATCTCAGAGGTATTATTCAAATAGCACTTCTTATCTCAAAAGTGTTTATCACTGTTTAAAAAATGATTACTTTATTTAGGCAAATAAAAGTCAGCTCATAAAATATTTATTTATGGAAAAGTATGTTATATATATATATACACACACACACACACACACACACACACACACACACACACACACACATATATATATATATATATATATATTGATGAATTTAATGCTCCATAAAATCTAATTTGGTAGGATCAGCTGCATAGTTAAAAAAAAAATCGTGATTTAGGAAAAAAATTACAAGACGAGGTTACGAACGTGATGTCACCGATTTTAATTAAACTTTTATTGGTTACATTAGATCGAAAAATATTAGACCCATGTCCGAGTTTTCTTACCAATTCGTCAAGAAAAGAAAATTATAAAATTTTATCAATTTTTAGATTTTTTTTTTTAACTCGCTCTCTATGGATTTCTAGTTTATGATATATCAATCGATCTGTTTTTGTTTTTGTAAAATAAAAAATATTGCTGATTGAATTAAATAAATTCAAATGTATAATAAATTACAAAAACCAAGAGACGCTTATAATGAAACAGGTCAAGTCAATTTTTGTTGAGGAGTGAATGTACAAGAAATATGTCTGTTTAATTGTTCGGTTTTACCTTTATCATAAGCCATCCATTATTTAACGAGAGGAAATGGGAAAGATTATGAGATTTTTGAATTTTTTTAATGAGATTTTCCGAAAGAATTGTCATGATTAAAAAGGGGGTGATTATAAATAGAAAATTTGGATATTGTGATTTTAAATTATAGCATCTAGAGTGCTTCCAATGGGTAGTTTCTCAACAAGCGTTTTCATGTGATTGTATTATTACTGCGTGCACATTTACTAGTTGTATTTTTCTATAATCCAGCTGTAAATATCAATGAATAAAAATAAAAATTGTAGCATCAAAGTTAATCTCGACGAAGCTCAATTTATCAATGCTGTCAAGTCCTCTGGATCATTGAGTGCTTTCATCGTAGAGTATTATTAATTGAAAATCATCTTTATTCATCTTATAATTTTTATTCATGACTTATATTTGCTTGTTAGAGTACCGCCTGAACGTTCTTGTGTGGCACTCGTACAGCAGTTTAGAAATCCTTCGATTAGACACAACGTTGGTTCGCTTCTGTTGATCTCATCATGTTCTATTTACGAAATATTGGCAATGAGACTGAACGGTTAGCGTTTTTGAATAATTTAGAAACATGTATAAGCTAACTATTCGTGAATCCTATCTTACTGATAATCAGAAGATTTCAAGCATATTCAACGCATGTTGGTTGGTATTTTGCACTTAAATATTCGTAATTATCTCGGTCATTCAGAGACGATTCAGATTATCGAGGAAAGTTTTTACTAGCTATTGCCTGGCTGTGTCCATTGTTGTCAGCAGTAATAACACAAGATAAAGTAATAACGTATAGGTTACTACAGTTTAGCGACAGTAGGACACAGCCTATAGTCGAGGTAATGCCTGTTGCTGGAGCTGAGCCCTGTACGATTGATCACTCTGGATTGAGGACTGTCGTAGTAAATCAATAGCTTAGCTATCTGTTAGCTAGCCTAGGATCTAATTGACATCTGCGAACTTTATGACAGGCTGAGCGTTCCCGTTATATCGCCGTCTGTTGCAGAAGTATCTCCCTTACCTTTTCTGTTTGTATTCTTCAAAAACCTTTTCTATTTATTTAGGAAGGAGGTGGTCATGGATGGTGGTCATTTTTAATGTTCTTATTTATTTTTTCCTTCGGAAAAATCTCTTATAAACACTACATAAATATATAATTAAGGTAAGCATCTTCGAATAAAATAAAAAGCAAAACATAAACATATAATATAAACAAAATATAAACTCAGTGATGCAAAGGTGCTCAGAAGATGCGCAAGTTTCGCTATCAAAATTTTTGAGGAATGGAAATTTTTACGGGGTTTTGAAATTTTGAGGGAACGCATATTTTCGTGCTTTAATTTGCTGATACTTTCAAACCAGAAAATGAGGCAAAAACATATAAAATATTTACAGTCTTTCTAATTATAATTTCGCTTGTACTGTTTTTAAGATGATAAGGAGAAAGACATCTCTTTGTAGAGACTGAACTTTGGGGGATGGGCACCTCTGTAGAAAAAAAACATGTGTTAAATCGATTATATAAAGTACCACTTCCAGTTTGCCGATTTTTACGAAAATGTTGCTGTAACATCGAAAGATTATATAAATCTTCAATATGCAATTCCACTTTCGTACTACTTTTTGTTTTTGAGCTAGACTGCTAACATTCATTAATACACACAAACAGACCATTTTGCGGGACTTGGTTATTTGTACTCATGAGACCTTAAATATGTATTTTCCTTGAAAACTCAGACTCGAAAAGTGAGGCGTTTCCGAAAAGGAATCAAGGAAATAAAAAGTATGTATTATTATAAGTTCAGTACTTAAACTCGTTAATGAATTGATATTTTTTGGTTGATATATGCTAATACGATTAATGAAATAAATCTTCGAAGATAAGAATGCCGCTAAAAAAGAAAAAAAAAGTTTCCGTACTGTTAAAAATAATTTTTTTTTCTATGAAGTCATAAATAAATTTATAAAAAATGTTTACATTTAATTTATAGATGTTATTTGTATCATTTTTCAATAAAAGTCAGACACTATTCTTTAATAAAAGTCAACATACTGCAATCTATAAACGACAAAAAAAGCATTGATTCTTATCATTTGTCTTTTCATTATTTTTCTTGTGTGAGGTTTTAAAATATTCGATGAGTTACCCTAAGTAAGTAGTGAATCCTGGATTTAATTTTTAGCGGGGACTACCATTTTTTTTTTTTTTTTTTTTAGTAACTTATAATTAGTAAAATTAATTATAGAAATAATATTGAAAAATATACATTATTTATTTATTTGTAAATTATGTGAAATATAAAATAAATATATCAAATAAGGGTGAACGAGGTAAAAAAAAAAAAAAAAAAAGGAAAAAATACATATAAATTCGGTCACTAATTATGTTACTAATATGTTTCCAATATTTAATTACACAATATCACAAGCGATAAGTTATATATTAAAATTTATTTTTAAAAAAATTTATTTTAAACATTTCTTGACTGAAATATCATCAAATCTATTTATTATTGCAGTTACGGTACAGGAAAGTATTTCAAAAAGAGTTTTTATTTATTTAGTTCCACTTCCTCTTGCAATATTAGTTTATCAGGAGGGGAAAATTTGATTTAATCAATATCAAATGGTATAAATAAATATTAGTAAACGTTGTACATACATATACATTTCCGGATGAAGTATTAAAATTAATGAAAACTAAGGTCAATATTATCTTTATTTAATAAATACACAAATTTAAACATTTTTTGTTAAAACTGAAATTAGAACTTGGCAATTATTAAATTATTGATAACTCTTCAAATCTTAATAATTTCTTAGTAACTATTAATGAAATAAAATTCATATTCCATCTATAATATAAAGATTTAATATTTCTTACGTATAATGTACTATTTTTAATTTTAATAAATGGCAAGAAAATCAATTTCTATTCTAACCATGATGATAGCCCAAATCTTTAGACCAAACGTGAGCATTTAAAAAAAGATTTGAAAAAAAAACATACTCTGATGCTTAACAAAAAATAATCATTTTACGTTAGGTTCGACCCGTGTTAACACTTAGAACTAAAATTTCCAAGACCCACAAAATTCAAAGTTTTCAATCAAACGTTTTAAGAGAAATAGCAGATGTACCTATGTGACAAATAACTTGTTAGTCAGGGACTTGGACATCCAAACGGTTTCAGATGCTGCAACATAATACTATAAAAACCTCCACCAAAGGCTGACTTACAACATGAACCCATTAGCCCAAACAATTAATTCTACCACGAACCCGTACATCCCACGACGAGGTCTAAAGTGATGGCCAAGAGACTTTCTAATTAGACCTATACCCTTAATGTGTACTGATGTAGTACATATTGTAAAAAATACTTTGCAGATAGAAAATTTCAAGTATGACAGATTTGCATGTTTATGTAAATAAAAAAAGAATTTTCAAGGTGCTTTTTCTTTTTAATTTCTTCATTTTAATTTTCTGGAACTTTCCCTCCTCGAATCAGTATTAAACATCACTTACAAATGCGCTTCACTTAAAATCTTTTCTTTTAATTTTTCAAGCATATTATTACTGTAGAAAAATAAATTAAATCATAGCTCTTGCCTTTCTACCGTTGCTAGATCATTTATGGATTTAACATTTCATTAACTATTATTTCAAATAGGCAGGAAATAATTACTTCTGTTTAGTTAGGAAATAAATACGGCTGTAAAAATAACAGTTTCCCTTAAGTAATAGATCGTTGATAACGTTAAAATAACAGCATACTACTTAGTTTAAATGTTTGCCTGTTATGCCCTATTAGTCTGTGGTGCAGGCCCCTTTTTATAAATTATTAACATCCACCTGAAACTTTATAAATAGCTTCATCTCATCGTAACCTACAAATATTTTATTTACTAAAATTGGGCATTTTCTACCTAGAAGTCCGTAAATTGTGTCTATTTAATTAGATACTAAATACTCGAAAAAATCCCCATTTGCTTCGACCACTTAGATCGAAAGATAATTTGATCACAAAATCGATATAAAAAGATGACCTACAAAAATATTTGGTCACTAGTCTCACGCCAAATGGCTGAATATCTTTGAAGGCCGTTTTTTTTCTGAACTTATCTTACGATTCAAGTGGAAAGTAAACGGTTATTTTGGTACCTAATTAAATAGAAATAATATGCCGACTTCCAGATTGTAAAAGCCCCAATTCCGAGAATTTTCGTAAATAAAATATTTGTAGATTACGATGAGATAAAACTATTTACAAAGTTTCAGGAAGATGTTAATAATTTGATAAAAAGGAGTCTGTACCACGTTGTTACTAACATAGCAGACATTTTAATAACCATGAATACTCTATTAGTACTATTACAGCAATATTTAAATTATCAGTAATGAGCTTATCTTTGTAATGAGTGTAGGATCTAAAAGATCTAAGAGGGGTAGCCCGAGGATTCGTTAGAGTAATTTGGATGTTCTTTGCTGCATTCAGATAGTTTCACTTCAAGCTATGAAGTTTAATGGAAATTTCTGCCATCTCTTTTCATGAAGAGTCTGCTTTAAAAAATACAGAAGGTTTTAGAGTATGCTATGGTTCTATTACACGAGATGAGAGAATTCTAAAAGATTACTTACCCTGACCTATTCCAACTTTTCCTCTTCAAATTGATGTTCTTCGGTATTGAATATATGAAAGTTTTCAGGAACTTTGGTGTAACTTTTTATGCTAATACTTGTTTGTGAAAAGGTACCCAAATTTGACTACTCTATTTTTTCATTGGGGAGAGACATTTAAATTTATTATAGCCGTTAGATCCCAATAATTTTCTATTGTTTTACTGTTACTAATTGTTTTCCATTATTAATAATAAAATTGGCTACTGCTCAGTGGATTGTTGATAATGGCAATTATTTTATTTTATTGAGTATTAATACAGTCTGCCTCACTGAAGGGTATTGGTTCTAGTTCTATAGTATTCATTCACACAATATGTACACAAGAAAGGAAAATAAATAAAAATAACCAAGTAAGAAGAGAAAGAAAAGAAAAAAAAGGGATATATATATATATATATATATATATATATATATATATATATATATATATATATATATAAATAAAAAGATAAAGTAATGGTCAAGATAAGTAAAATAACAGATTGAAGCCAAATGATAAATAAATAAAACACATTCACACATATGTACAATATTTACGTTGGCCCAGCGGGCTCTGAATCAAGCTTTGTCCCCCAAACGTGGAAGCCAAAGCAGGACTCCAGGAGATCCCAGTGCTTCTCTCCCAGAGGTATCGTAAGCCGGTCGAGACTGATGGGCAATTATTAAAATTAGTTATTGTTGCCATCCATAGAAATTTAATAAATTTCTCCATTTTATCTCAGAAGTGCTTGTTTCTTTTTTATGAATTTGTTAACAGAATAAATGTAACTGGAGCGGGGAGAGGAGGGGTCGAGTGGGCTAACGCGTCTGCAAAATATGAATGCTCAAACCAATCTCTTATAAACCGAAGTTTAAATCTGTAATATTAATCCATCGCCCTCACCTCTAGCCCGAGAAAAACATCATATAGCCTAAAACACCAGAAATGGGAGAAAAAAAGAAGACTAAATGGACCTTTACTGAAGAGTGGGCGTAGAACTTCAGTGTTTTTACAAGTACAGGTATAGGCTCAGAAAACGATCCCATCACCTCTTCACTTTTAGACTGCTTCATAATAAATAAAATGAAACTGACAAGGACTACTAAAAGATGCAGTTACTACACGGACCTACCTGGTGGTGAAGAACAGGAGGAAGGGATACCGCCCACTGCGGCACCTCTCCATTTGTCCCTCTTCTAAAGAGCCTTAATTCCCGAAGGCCTCGTGTCAGCCCGCCTGTCTGTTTAGGTC